CGAAGTGCGTGGTGATTCGAACGACTCTGGCGCCTATCATTGGGGCCCAAACTTGAAATAGAGTAGATTAGTAGGATTAGCTGACCCTGCTAAATTGCTGTATTTCAAGTTTGGACCCCAATGTTAGGCTCCAGAATCGTTCGAATCACCACGCACTTCGACGCGCAATTTGCCGCGCGCATACTCGAACGCACGTATGTACCCATACCAGTGGCTTGTGGCGCATTTCCACACACGAACGGTCACGTCTTCGAATCCTGAATCGATATCTGCCTAGGCCAACCAAGCCTTCCATCCCTTCGAGGACGGTTAACTGGTACCAGAATCGTCTGGAAGGATAAAAGCACTGACTGATCACTGTTTTTGGCGGAAACGACCTTTTGGAGCGTGAAAAGTTCTAATGTGTGACCTGCCTTTGATTTTTTTCCATGAGCAGAGATCAACAAGTATTTTCAACACATGCATAAGAATATCGATTTAGGGTGATGTGGGCAAGGAGATGTACATCGTGAACCAGGGTGTTCTACAGGTTGTGGGCGGAGAAAATAACGAAACTGTATTTGCTGAACTTCGTCAGGGATCTGTCTTCGGCGAGATCAGGTGAGATTCAAGGAAAGTCAGATTGCTGTCGAGTGCCAGCGTTCATACTTCAATTCCTCATGGGCGCCTGGCAACAAGCGTCGACTAGGGCGTCGACAAGCTCTGATCAGTTGCATTGCGAACACATAAGCAAAAGAAAACAACATTTTGAGCGTTCAGTAACAGCAATAGCAAAGGTCATTACACTAAGATGGAAGTCCAAGTACAATCTCTCGTTATGAAACTTTGAAGTGTCGAAATTATGAGGAAACAATGAAGCATTGTTCGGAAAGCAAAGTCGTGTTCAACGAACTGTTAAAGGTACCAATGCAAAAGCAGCATTCACTTGATATGTCTATGGATTCTTTCAGAGTCAACGATGTGCATTTTCAATCAACCGACAACCGGCCAACCGACGGCGTTGCTAGCCACGTGCTGACAACTTGGGACAGATTGTCTTCAGGGCCGCGTGAGCGGTATCGATTGATGTCTAGCGTTGTCAACACGTGGTCAGCCTTTGGTCGGTCGGTCGATTAAGACAATGCATGTCGTTGAACCCTGAAAGCACCCAACGAAAAACAGCGAGGCCAGAGCAGGCATTTCGAAAGCTCAGGAAACCCATCTGACCATCCCAGACAATCGGAGACATAGGCGCGCCTATTGGAGTATGAACGCGGCTTTAGGGACGCTTAGCTCGACATCTTTTGCCTTAAATATTCTTGAGCTACCAACCATAGTCATTTCAGTCTGCTTGCTATCGGAGGTAACAATCGACGAACAGCATCAATTCGAGCAAAAGGCTACTCTACGCTTTTCGTGTTGTTAAAAGAAGACCTGAACGACGTCATCAAATACTATCCACAGGCCCAAGTACTTCTCAAGAGGAGGGCCGCGTAAGTCAAACAATTACTAGATTTGCAAATTATTCATAACATCTCCTACCTTATATTCTGACAAAGACTTCATGCGGATGCTTCTCCCTTCACAATTTTGGTCGTGATTCCAGGGTCAATTAGGCTATCAAATTAGCTGAAGTCTCATGGGGCCGTTAAATGTCCGAGTCAGCAATACAGCTGGTTCCTTTCAGCCGAGTCTGGGCGTGCGAACGGTTCGGGGAGATCATTCGGAACATGAATCGAAACACGAAGAGCTTTTTTGAAATGGATCTTCGCATGGTATAGGAGCACACATGAAACAAAAGAACCCTCAATCTCCTTGCATCTTTAGATTTGGTCAAGAACATCTCAGACAGTAGGAAGTAGGAACGAAGGTCTCAGGCAGTGGGAACGGTTTTGTGCAATGATCCGCCGCACGCGGCTGTCGCGAACCATTTGCCTCATTATAACAGTTCTAGCGTTCTTCATACAACTCAATCGCTATGCGATTTTTACTTTTGGCATGATTCTATTGTTGGTTTTTTTGTTCCTGTATTTCTTACATGCTGCTGTATTCTGCCACATTCCTTCGCGCGCGACGTCTCTCTTGCCGCGACGCGACCGTTCCTACTGCACTACACACGGTCTCAGATGCATTTGGGCCTTCTATCGCTATGCTTCAGAAACAATGCCGAGCCTACTTATGCACATAGATGTTCAGCAATCACAAGCATAAGAAACAAAACACATGAAGCAATGGTGCTTCACAACCAACCACTCCTTTAGCATACACACTAGACATGCATAAATACACACACGCTCATCTACCTATACACATACACAACGCTACACATCTCCTTCACTGAGGGTTTACTTTCATTTGATGATCCTTAAGGGTGCCGACCGACCGACAGACCGACCGACCGACAGCGTTGCTGGCCAACGCAGGACAGATTGCGTTCGATACCGCTACCGCTCACCGGCACTCTATCCTGCGTTGTCAACACGTGGCCAGCAACGTCGTCGGTCGGTCGTTCGGTCGGGACGTCGTTGAACTCTGGAAGCACCCGAAAGCACCCAAAGCAAAAAAAATCCTATCCAACTAGTCTAAACATTATTTACAAGACAAAGTTGAGATAAATGAAAAGGCCTCATGAGTATATCCACTTAATGATTTTTCAGGCAAATGTTGAAAAACGATAAGAGTAAGGATACGACAACTGTGGAAGAACGCGGCCTCGAGGAGACGTGCAAACTTTCTCTCGGACTTGCCACTCCTCGTATGCTACGCGTCGTCGCTGAGGTCCTAAGTCCCGAAAAGACCTCAACGGCACAGATAAAGGAAGCCATCGACAGAGCCGGTTAGTTCGCTCTGCTTTCACTAACACACTATCATTAAAAAGTACATAAGACCTTTGAGAATTAAATGCATTGTTGCAGATCATAAAAAACATCATCCAATGTATCCATGGTCAACAATTCATCAGGAAGACTTGTCCGACGAT